GATGTGGCAAGAAGAGAAGAGATAATGAGGAATGCATATATATTTGAAAAGAAATACAAGCTAATTTATATCTTTATAATGATAGCATCGAATGGCCACTGATTCATATGATTTCACTTTATCAATGAAAGTTTTTAGTCACTCTTTCATTTCTAGTTCTGTTATTCAAATTTCTAAAATGAAAATGAGCGATAATTAAATACTAACTGATCTGCTCTATACTAGGAAAAATGTGAATAAACAGACTGGAAGATAACTTATTTCTATTCCCCTTCGACTGAAAAATGATTTTCACTGAGCACTAACAATCACAGTAAGAATGGCAAGAGTTCTTTCCACACGCTGATGGCTAGAAAGAAACAAAACTAATCCTGCTATGCATTATTTTAAGCTCTGTAAATAGTAACCTTTCTAATAAACTTCTATCATCTGGCGATAATAATCAAATGATCTCTTCTCGGAATATGTTAAAAAATCACAACTGTGCAGAAAAAATATTAACAGTTTTAAAACAAAGCCATATATATGTATGTTACAATGAAATTCCTACTTGTTGGGCCAGCCTAACTGCTTTGCTCTAAAATACATATGGCTGTTCTCTAAGTAGAAGTATACCTGAGCCAATTATCACATTAATTTGCACTCCATACAAATAAACAAATGGTAATACGACATACATACAAACCTAACATGACTATACTCAAGTTAAATCTTGCAAAATTTAAAAAAAAAACCCATAAGCACTCGACCATTACCGTTCACCAGAACGTACGATGATGCGCAACAATTAAAACAGCAGAATATTTAATACACTGAATCCAGAAAAAGAATCATTTGTTAATTTAAGAAAATGGTACAATTTTGGGATTCTGAATAAGAAAATGAAGAAGCTGGTGCTGTTGCTGAGGTAATGCTGGAACGGTACCGGTGCAAAATAATGTAGGTGAAAATATGGTTGCCAGATTTTCGATACTCATTTTGTTCTCGGCACTGTTGTCAGCCACTCTTTGCATATGCATCAATATTGCTAGCAATGTTCGGCCATTTGCTTCATTTAATTCCTTCAAAGCTTTCCTAGAAAACAAAATTTTAATTCTTTTTTTAACTTACCGCATGCAACTCCCATCCTCCATTGCATTAATCAATCACATCTTAGTATCTAGATTTCTGGCAGCTTTTGATGAAATAACTTTTACGTTGTCTTCTAACTAGCATGACTCTTTTGCCGGGACTCGAATCTTTAGTTGGGCTGAATAACGGTACAGATAATCAATATACCTGCACATCTTTGATCGTTCGTGAAAAGCTCGATTGTTCGTATAAGCAGTAAGTAAAGATCGATATACAGAAAATGGTACAAGTTGCTGCGGCAAAAGCCTGAGGTATAACTTTAGAAGGCCAGCTACGGTATGAATATCTTCGACGATCGAGAGATCAACTTTATGAAGGGTATCGAACTGTCGGCGTAATCTTTCCATTTGTTCGTGGGAACCGGATACCTAAACGAGATCATAGTTGATCAATTCCGTGAAACTATATGATGATACACGATGATCCACGATAATTCCAATACACGATAATATACCGTGATTCTCACCAATTCCGACACTTATCTTCATTACAAAAATCATTAAATTACTGTAAAAAATATTAAACAAACCCTATAGATTCCTTCCGCACGTAAACCACGACGTTCAACTTCCGTAATGCAAGCAGAAACAACAGGTGGAATGCTTACAGCGTGTGCCATACATAATGTACTGATATCTACAGCAAACATACGCTTTACATATTTCGCCTCCGGTCGGCAATCATGTATAGTGCGCTCACTGCATTTTTTATGCGCACAAAAACCGCAGTCTTCGCACTTAACACCCTAAAATTTTTCAAATTTGATATAATATTTATTTTATTTCAATTTTCAAATAATTTAAGAAAAACTAATACAGTAAATAGGTATTCTTCGGAAATACGATCCATAGGCATTCTGAAAAATGGAAAAACACGGCGTGTTATTTTATCTACATCGTTTTTGTTTATTTTATCTACATGGTTTTTGTTGAGAAAAGAAACTTTACTAAGTAACCACACAGTTTTATTACTGATGAGCAAAAATAATTAAAAATTTAACAATTCACAAAAAGGGTAGAAAGAAATGAGAAACCTGTTGAACAAGTCCCCACATAAAATTGCGACAATAATCACAATAATGTGGTATCCGGAATGTAGCCGGTGTGAAATTATGACACCGAGCACATGGTTGTCGTCGACAATCCGTTGCTTTTTGATACTGCGAATAAGGACTTTGCTCATAAATCGCTTCATCAGCCATGCGTTGTATATAATCATTTGCATGTTTCTCCATATGCATCGTTATCAGTCCATCTGCGACTAAATCTTCCAAATGTTCGAATCTAAAACTTCATATTATCCTTCGATAAAATGTAGATAAAACTTATTGGGAAAGAATATTGCTACAAGATTAATCGTATATAAGATCCTTTTTTTATATGTGTTCATCCCTCAAACAATGACGGTCTTATTAATGCTTGAAAACCAACATTTAATCTAGTATCAACGTTATTGCTTCATTGCTAATCTGTCAAATATTACCTGTTCAAAAAGGTTCCCAAAATTAATTCTATCCATCATATTGCCAACCTAATCAGCCTATAATTGAAGGCTTAATCACCTAAGATTCCTTCGTAATAAACTGACCTTTAATTTCTTATACCCTACAAAAGATCAATGCAACACATACAGTATCAAAAACTTTGAACATTAGGTAATTATATAGTATAAAAATCAATAATGTAACGCAATTTCAAATAGCATAAACATTAAACATCAATTATTTACCTTTTTTCGCCAACATAATGCATACCATCGTAGAATAGCTTATAATTTAATACACGTCCATCGAAAAACATACATAATGTATTAGCACCGGGTGAACGTCTGGATGCTCGAACTAAAAAAGCACCTTCACCAGCTTCCAACAACATATTATCAGCCACTTCTCGTTCGATTAAACCATGAAACTCAGTACCATACTAAAATATTAACTCTCTGTATTATAGGAAAAAACCATGACAAATCACCGCATCATCTATCAAAACAATAAACATATTAATGCAAACAGTTACAGAAACTATTTAAAAATTCAAATTTCGTAAAAAATGACTGAAACAAGAAAAATATGATAAAATAGTGCAATTACAATAGATAAAAAAGCCAGAAAAAAGCATGCAACTATATTCTTCAAAAATATAAGTATTAATGAAACTGCAACATCATTAGTTGATTTTGATTCAATCCCAATATTGCAAGTCAATTATGATCCAGTTCCATTCCAACACTAATTTTAATTCAATACTTTTTTTTTGATTCAATTTATTGGGAGACATGCTGATCAAATTCAAATTAATTTCAATGTCACACTGGTTTGTTTTATTTTAATTTATGAGTGATATTTTAAGTCCAGTTTTGTCCCAATATATAAACATCGGCATTTATTCAATCCAATTCTAATATCACCGATAATTTTCGACCTAATTCAAATATAATATGCATCAGTTTGCATAGAATATTAGTTCATATTTAATTCAATCGCTAATGTTGCATAATATTGATAGTTGAATATAATAAATATTCAAGTGAAAAAGAAAACCATACCTGAGGTGGTGAGCATTCCGGTGATACTGTACACATAACAGGAAACGGTCGTGGTGCAGCTTCCTGAAGCAAATATAAATTTTGCTTCCAATATCCAACTTCTTCCTCCATTCCATTCAGTTATTCACTCCAACGACTTTGGAAACTTTTCCGCAAATATGAATATTTCAACACTTTGAGATCTTTTTGTTTCCAACAATTTCACCAACCATACTATCACCTACAATAAAACAAATAAACAGCAATCAATCAGTGCAGCACTTCGAAATGATATAATTTCAGCAAAATTAACAATCAAATCTTTGTGCTGCAAAAGAAAGTCAAAATATTCGAGAAGAATTTCATCCTTATGATTACGATAGAAAATTACTGCGGACGGTGATGCGTGTGAAGTTTGTTCGGTTTAATCCGGGGTATCGAGAAGGCTGGGCGAGGAAGTTTTCTGTTAGTTTCAGGAATCCCTGATTGAATCGATCAGAAAACGATTTCTTTTTTATATCGATGAAGATATCTTTCAATGGTATTTTTAGCAATTTACATTTTTTTCGACAACAATCAAAAAAAATGCATAATCACTTTTATTCACGCAAATAATTAATTTGGGATTGTTTAGGGAATTGAGGAATTCAATAATAAAACTAATTAAAAAAGATTTTTTTCTTTTCAGTATGAGAAAAGGAAAAAATTATATTCAGAGGAAATGAAACTTTCACAACAATCTGAACTATTATATCCACTTGTTTAATTATTTGGTTTGCATTACTGTAAAAGTTTTATTCTCTTTGCGTTTAAAAATAATTTTTATTTAATTTTTTAAAACATTAGCTGATCTATTCAATTTTCGATGTTGTTTGTTTGTAAATTAATGCAAGAATAATTCGTATCGAATAATTTTTGCTTTTTTACTTGATTCAGATCATAATCCAGATCAAATCGTGCTTTGTAAAAGTGAAATGTATAATGTTTATTGAAGTAATTAATTTTATTGTACGAAAATGAATGGTTGTTTGGTTTTATAAATAATTCTTTTGTTTAGTAATGATTATAATTTATTAACTTTTTTCGTATTTTCTTGATCCTTCTTTTTTTTCTGCTCTTTATCGTATTTATGTACTTTTACTAGACTTCAGCATTATTAACTTTTAATCAAATCTGCAGGTAAATTTTGCTCATATTTGATGACAATGTATAATTTGAAAGCAGATGATGGATTATCAGCCTTTGACGGACATTTAAAGGATTTTGCATATGCATCAGGGTGATTCATTATTTATCTTAATAATCTTTTTTATGTAATTTCTTTAATTATCGATAAATATTTCTTTAGTCATTAAGTAAACTAAAGTTTTTTTTTCCATGAAATAAATAAATATTGTGCAGCGATCGATATGGAAGATACTAAAATTTTGGGAAATTCATAAGAAAAGCAATTTATAAGTAATATAAATCTAATTTAGACTTATTGTGACGATATTGTTAACGCTTCCTTTTTTTTAAATATAACTCTAATTGATTATTTTTTCACAGTTTCATTGCGAGATTGTGCTGACATTGATAATAATGAAGGAATAGGAGTGAATGGTGTTTGGTAAGTAATTCGAAATTATAATATGAGCATAGCATAACGTGAACACTATGATTAATCATTCTCATCCTTAAGAGTCGGAAATAATATAAGGACTTGCTCTTCAGATATACACCATCTGGCGATGATGTGCAACTGTTCAAGTCGCTCAACTCAGAACCATCTATGAAATATGCTAATGTTTTGCGATGGTACCGAAATATAAAAAGTTTCAGCGACGAGGAACGAAAATCGTAACCATTTATAATTGATCTATTTGTAATTAAAGTTGCTACCATTAACGAAGTACAGCAAAATAGCTATTCTGAATCCCATGTATTCTAAGAATTTTATTCTTGGGATTCAGTCAAAATGAATAAAGTAATTTGTTGATCTTTTTTCTTTTCTCTATCTTACTGAATCGGATGAAGTCCTATCTAGAGTATACTTACCACTACATATTATGACAATTAAGTACTTGTCATAGTTTTTCTATTCTTAAATTACCAATTAAGTTTGCATAGTTCCTGAAAAAAGAGATAAATGAAGTTTTGGAAAATTCATTTTTTTTCTTTTAGATGGCCCACTCCAGTGACTTCTGCTAATGGAGTACTGGAGAAGGAAGAGCTTGATGAAGACCTTGATTTATTCGGTTCAGATGATGAAGATGATGAAGAAAAAGCACGCATAACCGCTGCACGACTGAAGGTTTAATCCTTTTTTTTGCATATTTCAGACAGTGATCTTTATAGAACGATGAGCAAAAGCCTTATGCTCGCCATCTTAGTCTTAGTCTAACTTTTCGTCTTACATGCTTAGCAAAGAAAAAAGTATAAATTAAGGAACTTTATACTTCTCGACGTAACATCAGTGGATTATTATGCGCCGAAACAGATAGTAGGAAAGAGAAAGTCAATTTTCAAGATTCAGAATGTCTGAAGATAATTCTTTTCTAGTATTATGGAGGAAAAAAATGTTGTGGTTTGAAAGAAATAAACGCCTAAATATACTGATCTTTATCATCTTATAACCGTGGGAAATTAAAGCTGAATTAGTTCAGAAACATCAGATGGTTGTATCGTCAGTTTCGCTTGTACTTCAAAGCTAATTTGGATGCCATATATTTCATTTTAACACTAATTGTCTAATATTTTTATCGATTATAAAAAGGGACGTCTCTTTTTTTAGCAGTTGATCGAGGAAACAGTGATTAACAGAAGTTCTTGGTTAATGAGACAAATATATCTGTTCAAAATTTGAAACAGACACATTTATCTTTCAGTCTTCCAAGAAATTTGATATATATAGTTTTGTTTTTAATTGCTGGAGATTTGGTTTATAATGTGATCATTCTGAAGTAATTAAACATAGCTGAAAAAATATAAGAGATACTACTATTATGAGTAATGATTTACAAGTTTTTTTTTTACCTGCTTCTGTTATGTTGAAATATCTGCACAAAAGATATCTGAGGACTATTTATTGAAGTAAATTGAAAGAAAAACCTGTGCGCTGTTTTATAAAGTTTTAGCAGTGCATTGGATTAAGATTATGTTCTATTGAAGTCATAGGGATTATTCTTGAAGGCATATGAAGAGAAAAAAGCAAAAAAGCCAACTGTGACTGCCAAATCGAATATCATCTTTGACGTAAAACCATGGGATGATTCGATTGAAATGGCTGATATTGAAAAGAATATAAGGACGATCGAGTTAGATGGGCTTGTTTGGGGAGCGGCAAAAGTTTTGCCCGTGGCTTTTGGTATCAAAAAACTTCAAGTATGAGATTTGCTTTACAACGGATTATTACGGAGCAACATTAAAACAAAATAATATATAATAAAAAATCATAGAATATAATATGATACATACGCAATTATACAATGAAATGGCAATAAAATATATAATAGTAAAATAATGTAGATCACGCTAATAGCAGAATCAACTGAATATAGAGAGCAGCATAGGATGAAAATTTATTGATGAAAAAATTTAGTAGGACACTGAGATACAAAGTGATATCGATATTGTTTTAAATGTTTTTGAAATATTTGAATGATTCGAAAGACTTAATTTTTGATAAGTTGAAATGTTTTATAACTTGAAATTTAAACAACGCTTAAAAGAGTTTGTTTTTTCTAGATCTGTTGTGTGGTGGAAGATGAGAAAGTATCTTCGGATTGGCTGGAGGAACAGATTGTGGGTTTCGATGATTTAGTGCAATCGGTTGATATTGTAGCATTTAATAAAGTATAAGTAATGACGACTGTTTTGTTGTTGATGTTGTTGAAGAATAAATCGTTTGATGAAAAAAACTTGCTCTTCAATTTTTGTTATGGTACATACGCTTTGTTGCCGTTCTCTTGAAATTCTAAATCTTTTTTTGTAATTGAAATATTCTCAATTGTAAAATAATAACGCGAGAAGGATGGAAAGATGTAATTGAGCTTTAGTAATTGTGTTTATTGTTTAATCGGTACTAAATTGTTCAAAATTCAAATATTTTCAGGAAGTGATTGGTCATCATTTAAGGACATCAAGATTCATATCCCCTGTAAATTTTAGACGCTGTTGTAAGGTGTAGAAACGATTGAAAATTCAGATAATCGGACTTGTTGTTGGTGTGGTCATCAGTGGATCTATTGAATGGAACGACTCAACTATCGCTATCGTGAATCTATAATTTTAGAAACTGGTATTCGACTTATATCGGTACAATCTTATTACCATCTTGAAACGAACTGCTGTAGCTAACCAGATTATCTTATTATTTCCTAAAGATGAATGCTGTTAAAATTTTTCTCATTTTTGTATTTTCAGATTTCTTGTTTTGTGTCCTGCTTCCGCTAAGATGGATGGAGTAACTATCCACGATTATCTTTGTTTGATACAAATGGGATGCACACGTAAGTTTCAAACCTAACTGAAATTAAATTCATCAATTTATGCTTTATGATTACGATACTTTATCAGATGATGGCACTGTTCAATGTCATATATTGTGCATAATTATCAAGTATTTAAAGTTAAATCACATCGATAGGCAAAGGATGAATTTTATTTGATTGCAGAGGAAGGTAAAAAAATTTTGCCGTCTAACAAATTTATGGCTGGAATTGGAAAATCCTTCGGGAATGTTTCCGAAATTATAATGCTTTGAAATTGCATGTCAGATTAGTCAGAAGCAATGATAGAGGAGTAGCATAAATATAACATAATCTGAATTTGATACATGAAGGTTTAAGATGTCGGTATGTGGATGCACAATATATTTACAATGTAATGTGGATAGGAAATTACGCAGAAATTAAGGCATGATGCATTTAGGAAAAGAACATGAACTGATTATCAAATTCTACCTCGATAAACCAAATTAGCGAGATACATTATCTCATGTTTGATGTTTCATAATTTTTGATTGTGTGAAAATCAAGTGACTGTTTTGCATAACTAAGTTAGATTGTAAGACAACACTAATTTGAGATTTTCTTATGCACACTTAAACTTTTTAGCTCTGGGTTTACCGAAAGTGAGACGACTACCATTCGATCCATTAAAACATCAAACGATACATTTGGAACGTTTGATGCGAAGCAAAGGTTTGGTAGATCCACAATTAGATGAAGAATATCCATTACCATATTCGGAAAATATTTCATTTTATTCGGATGTTAACAAAACTACTCTGATTGATGATCAAAATTATTCTATATCTTCCACATTAGTACCACCTCCACCATCACCTACCGTGGATATCGCCGAATCTAAAATCGATTATCGAATTCATTATTCCCACCGCATGCTGTATTTACTGAAGAAGGTTATATGTTACAAATGATTGTTTTTTTTCTATAATTTCATTTTATCGTTCTTTAATTAATTAACAACTTTTTCGTTCCATAAATTTCTAATTTACATATTGATACATTTTCTGTGGTTTAAGATATTGCTTATAGGTAGCAGAAATTTTGGAAGAAATGCGCATGACAGCAAGTGATCCATCTATTCTACTATCGGTTAATCAGCTATCAATAATAGAAATAGCATTTGAGTTTATTATCCCAACAGCAGTTCGGCCATATGTTGATGATGGTAAATGATTTTTCCGATGCTGTTTTTAATTTTTTTCCCATTGTTTCAGAACCATCTGTTATTTATCATTTACATTTCTTACCATAGTGATTATTTGTGAAACAAGAGCTTCAAAATAGTTTTTGTGGTCTGAACCAACTCTCACTCCAATTTTATTGTTCAGGTGTGATTTTACACCTGGGTAGGAGCAGTTTGGTGGAGCACTGGAAACCGATTATTGGCAATATTGAATTTCGAAAGAAGCAGGTCATTTTATCAATGGACGTTTTTAAGCTTGAGTTTGAACTTATGCAGAAAAGCTGGATATGAATATAATACACTTAATATCTTGAATCGATGTTAAATATCGACGGATTGCTTTTTCATATTTCTAATTTAAATAGTTCGATCTGTTTCAATAACGAAAGTGCTGATGGGAAAGCTTTATTTTACTGTGACCAGTTTGTACGAGATTTACTATTAGTTAACCTTTTGCGAATTAGAGCTATTTATATTTCTGGTTTTGTGCTATTTATATTTCTGGATTTTTTGATTGCATCATTGATTGGATTATTACAAAATAGTTTGATTGATTGGTTTATTAAATGATCCACATGATCGCTATTTTATTAATCATATATAATTAATGAGCTTTTATAGTTGAAAAAAACATTGGAAGTTTTTGATACATTGATGAATTCATGCGAAATGATAAAGAATTGTGTGGTGAGGAAATTTCTGGCGGATTACATATGTTTAAATGAACAGGTTTGTTGCTTTTCACTGCTTCCTTTTACCGAATTAATCTTTTTAGCCTCTGTTGAAACACTCATCCTTTATGTAAGTACTTCTCGGTACTGTTCAAGAAAGATTAGAAGCACAAATAGTTTGACTCTTTTTTTACTTTCAAAAGTTCACGATTATTCACAATAATACTGTATTTTTCTGCAGTTGATCAAATTGGGTGAAAAAGATCACAAACAAAAGTATGGAAAATTTATTCTAAGCATTGACAGGTATTATTTTTATTTTTCGGTGAACTAATTTATATCCGCTTGATTGAGAAATATTAGATTCTGAGCCTGTTGCAGATTATTCGTTTAATTGGGTCAAAGTGCATCATTTTACAAAAAGTGGTATTTCAGTTAATTTTTATTTTTCAGACCGATGTTGATTACTTCGCTGTTCATTTTATTAACCGCAAATAGGAAACAGCCGAAATGGTTGCATGTAAGTTATAAATTTATGATAGCTATACAGAGATGAAGCAAGCACAAATTCTATTGAAAAATATTCGATAGTAACTGTGATTTTTATAATATTAGCATAAATCATGATTTTTTTGAATGGTGATTTTACTGTATTTAAATTTCTATGCTTTTTTTGACTTTCAGAAAGCAATAAGCAAGCATATCACCAAACTTTTGTTGTTGGAAAATGGATTGTATCACTTAATAACAGCAATAACCGAAGGTTTTGTGTTTTTCTTCGTTCTAAATCAGTACTTTTTATTGATTTCGAGATTATTTTTAGAACGATAAAATTAAACTTTTGCAGGTGCAAACTGTTTTGGAGATTTCGGATTTGTGCAGTCATTGTCTCGAATATTGGTAACAGTTCCTTATAAAATGTCGAAAGAAAGATATTATATTTCTTTAATTGAGAATTTTTTGGTTGTCATAGAGGTGAGTAATTTACTTATTTAGAAGGGCATAGCAATTTTCAGCTTATTTAAGTATTCAGCACATAATGGGATCATGCTAGCAGCAGAATCAAATAAAGTCGTTTGACTCGTTCAACATATTCTGCTTATGTTTCTTCTATTTAATGGGAAAGATAAAAAAAACTAATTTTAATTTTAGAACCATCCAAATGCTGGAGATGCTGCCGTTTGCTTTACCGTTGTGTTAGATATGTTGCCTAAAGAGTTAGTCGAAATGATTTTCGATACATTATTGTTACCATGGGAGGTTTGTTTCTTTTAGTTAACAATGAATGTAACGAAAATTGCTGGTCTTAAATGTATTAGAGTTTTTATTTTTAATTTCAAAAAAAAGAAATACTGCTAATTAGTAGATAATTTTTTTTTAATTCATTTAAAAAAGACATATTATAGCACACAATAATTTTAATTTTTAAGAATATACAGTGTTCAAGCATGTGTTATCATAAGCTCATCGGATATTATAGCTGAGTAGCAAAGATTTCATCACTTAAGAATATTATAACAGTAACCAATGAACACAATTAAGCGGATGAAGTCCTTACATTTCAGAATCTCAAAATTGATTGTTTTTCAAAGTATCCACCAAGAAAGACCAATTTTTTTCACCCAATGTTAGATAGGTCGCTCAGAATTTTATTATTTTATACCAAAGCTCTTCCACGAGGAATGCATTTGCCACTGTTCAGCAGATTCAAAGCGGTAAAAGATCTGGATTTTGTTTAGTTATTCGTTTGATTTCTTCTTTCTATCTCTCTTTCCTTTTTTCTCAAAAAATGTTTTCATACCTGATCTTTCTAAAGTTCTAAGGCTGGATGATGTTAGCGTTAAGCAGTTTAATTTATTCTGTACCTTACAAACTGTTCACTGAAGGAAATAATTTGACCATTGTCAATATGGCTATTTTTAGAATTATTAATATCAGTAAGTCTACTTGTGGAATGAAAGCCTTAATCATTTTCATGATTTGTGTGGAGATGACATTACATTTAAAAGTGTCACCTAAACATTTCCTTATCTCGGAAAGGAGGAACTGAGAAAAGTCAAGGGTAAATGTATCTTTTTTTGTGGACTGCGATTTGATGTAGATTTATATTAATTCGGTTTTAAAGTCTCCGAAGGGAATAACTAAATGTATATGCAATTTATTTTGTTATTTATTCATGCAAGTACTACTGCGATATAATAATAGTTTACAGTTATTCAATTTATGGACCCTACTGTATGCGAGCTACACAGAAAATCAAGAAAATCGATTGCATGGGATCCCAGTAGAGTATGACAATGCTGGTCAGGGAATATTTGATATTTTACACCGAATTCTCGATGATCCATCATTCGAAACAGTGGACGAGAAGGTCTTGGGATCTTTTGCTCTTCTGCACTAATTTTTTTTCAGCTTTTTCATTAGTTATAATTATAATTCTAGTCGTAATTACCATCATGATCCTATTGTTATAGCTATTGTTGATTTTTTTTGCTAGCTGTGTGAGATCATATAAGATGTTTTAGTATTGTTTTTAGGATTTTTACTTATTTGTTTTTTTAAAATTCTAATTATCTTTATTTTGTCCTTCTGTTTGTAAAATAAGTGAAACAGATTTTTATTTCATATTTACAAAATTGCTCAGATTTCAGGCTGAATTTCTTGTTCGACAAATAGAGGATGACTGCGATTCGTATTTACCAGAGCTAAGTTACAGAAAGGTTATTTTTGTTTTAAGTATTTCGGTTAACTGAGAAAATTATGAAGCACTTTTAATGAAAATAGTTCATTTATGGTTTGAACATTGTTACCTGTTGTTTTTTAGACTCTGATCGAAGAGATCGAACAAGAGGAAGTCAGACAAGAAGAAAAGCAATCGAATGCTTCGTCGATAACCTCCACTATTTGTAAAAATCATATTTTTTGGCTAAAACTTCTCAAAGCCCATTATGCCAATCTTCGAATCTATCTTGTAAAGCCTGAAAAAGCAGAAAGCTCATTCATTCGTTTTGAGAAAGGAATTTTGAAGATTTTACAGGTAGAAATTACTATTTTATTTAAATGTCACAGAAGCAGTAATGATGAGCAAATGATGAAGGGAAATGTCATTTTTTTTTACTTCCAGTCTGAACCAGCTTCATAAAGTCTGTTGAAGTTATGAAGTACGTCATCGTAGAATATAAATGTGGTAAAACACGCAGTTTCATTAATGCTATGAATTTAGACTTCGGATGGATGGAAACTAATTTACAAATTCTTTCAGAAAATTCAGGACGAGGAACCAAAATCATCACGTCGTTTAGCAATCAGAACGGCGATGTGTTGCATTGAGCGTTGGGCAGAAGTGGATTCTGAAAATGGTAGTTATATTAGCACTTGTAGTTCTCGAGAGACATCAGATAGTGAAGAAACAAGCTTTGAAGGAAGTAAGAATCTTTTGTTCTAAGAAAATAATCTTCATAAATCATGCATTTTCAATTCCAGTCATAGAGTTTAATCACACATCAGTTTCCCAAGTCTTCAAATTTTAACTTGCTATTCAGAATTATAGAAGTATGCGGAAGATTCTGAAAGCAAGTATGATTTTTATTTTACTAATGATGATGATGATGATGATGATCAAATCTTTTCTGTTACGTTGCACCGCAATTCATTTTTGATTTTTAGGGAAACAGAGAGTAAACTATTTTTTGAACGATTTATTGCCTATTTTATCGGAGACAAGTACACTTTCGGATGATAACTTGGCAAATCTTATCGACATCCCATTGGTTAGTTCACTTTCGTACGTTTATGAGAAAATTCTAATTTATCTTACCAGTTTTCAATTGGAATATAGTAATCGACTGAAATTTTCTTTAATAATATCTGCTTCGAGTTTAAATTCCCATTATCATAACTAAAGCTTTCAATAATACTTTTCTTTATACCCTTATGCATATTATTTACATGTTTTAGGAAGTAATTTAGGATTTTAGAAATGATAAAAATCAAAATTTGGTGAGAATTTTCAAATTTTCGATATTCGATACTGTTATTTATGCAGTGGGTTACTTTTCTACAGACCATACTGGATGTCGCCACGGCAAAATTGAATGTGCACGTGAATACTATTGCAGTGGACATAAAAGGTTTGGTATTGGAAGAAGATAAAGAACTTGAAGCTACTGATCGAAATAATGTCCATTTAGCACTGACAATTCTTCAATGTATTCTGGTCTTCAAACAAGGAGAATTCGTAAAAGTGAATTTTTTTTACATTTTCTTCATGAAAGACTCTTTTCAAAACATTGCAGTCAGTGTTTTTTCGTGATTACTGGAATTCAAAAAAATTGGAGAATTCTTTATTTTTACATTATTCTTGTAATACGGATATTATCGAGTATTCCAAAATTTTTTGTGGGTCAAAATTCGAAATTAATATTGAAGTACAAGATTGACAAATGTAGTTCAGAAAGTTTCGAAGTTATTCCTCTCCTTCCCAGAGAATCTTGAAATGATGAATATGATTATGTTGTATTGCGAATGTTCTTCTAATCAAAACTACTGCATATATTTAACATCATAATGTCCAGAAATGAATTATTTGTATGATCTATAGTTCTGCTTTCTCTGCAAATTACATGTTGATCAAAACAGCCGTCCAAAATTCGTAGTACTGAAGAAAGGAGGAGATTTAAAGCATTTGATCGTACCATTTTATAATACTTTTTAAAATTATCATGATATCATTTGTTCCTTTAAATCCTGTTTTTGATCCTGTTTAATTAGCAGTGCTAATTTTTTTTGAATTATAGTTCAAAGAAAATCTGATACGTGGAGCAAATATTTTGCAAGCATTTTCGAATACAGTTTCAAAATTAGGTGATATGGATAAAAAGCTGTATTTGGACTTCCAGCAGCTTGCTGTGGAAATTATTGCGTTATTAAAAGCAAATGATATTGAACCGAGAGAAGATGACACAGCACCTAGGTAAGTTGACATTTTATCGTTTTTCCTATTTGTCTAAATTTCATATGTTCAACTTTACTTCTCTACTTTTATCAAATTTAGATAACTTGAATTAGCTTTTTGCTTTCAAACGCATCTGTACAGCTATGTCAATGGCTGTTAGTTACTGTTTTAATGAAATTATAACCTTCATATAGTGTCAGAATTTTAGTTTTATCGATGAATCACCTAGTGTTGGTGATAATCCGATGAATGGTCGAGGTTCAGAATCCTTTTCTTTGGAACAAATTCAGTCTGATCTTTTGGATGAAACGGAATCTGTTCGTGGGCATGCTTTAATTAAATTAGCAAAGGGTATTCGCCGAAAAAACAGACAACTTCTGGATGACATTACTGCTTATCCTGGAATTATGCGTATTGTTCTAGGTTAGTTGCTCAATTGCTGTTTCTCTGATTTACGGCATAGTCATAACTTGCAGTAATACGCAATCATATTTTTTTACATAATCATAGTCTTATTTATAATTCATAATAATTCATGCTCGACATTGGGTCATGGTTTTTTGCATAATCATGATTGATTAGTGGATGGTTCGTTTTGCGGCCACAATTTTTTAATTTGTATATTGCTATTTAAATTTTCACATCTTGTAGAACAGCGAAATTATATTTACTTTTTTATGATTCTTGTGAAGGGAATCAACTGGTTTCAAAAAGTTAAAAACTAACCGGGATATTTCAGAACAAGTTGCTGATAATGATTCTTACGTTTATTTGGCAGCAATAAATGCATTAACGGAATTGGCATATTGGAAACAACAATTTTTCGATGAGATGGTGGAATTCTTTTTAGACCCGGCCGAAAAACTGAAGTCTCTTCTCAAATTCAACAGTAATTTCACTTTTTTAAAAATTTTTTTATATAACAAACATAATTATGTAATTTTCTTCTGAAGGGAATTTAAATTACTTGATGCACTTGATTTAGTTGGAAATGTTTGCGAAGGCAAATAAGATAACGTATTTTTCTAATAATGACTCTTTTATTTTCAGTTTCCATCAGTGTTCTTCCATTCCTGTTTTTAATTTTTCTTTTTTAGTCGTTTATAACAAATATCCCATTATTCATGAGGTATTTTCAGTGGATAACTTACGAGAAGAAGAAAAGGAAACATACTTATTAATACAGAGAGTGAAAATAGGCGAAGCAATTGCGAAGGCAAATAAAAATCTAGGTATGTTTACTCATATTTCTTATTATGTAATCTAACTTATCTTGAAATAATCCTTTTTTAATTATAATCATTAGCCTAAAAACATTACTAACATATTATTAGACACATTATTAATTATTAGTATAAGTTAATTGTAATATGTAAAATACGTCATGCAAGAAATGCATGCAACATGCATTATGCAAACCTAAAACGACAGTGGCATGGAATATATACATTCAAAACCAAAGAAATTGCAGCATATAGCATCATTTTCATTCTATAAAAATTTGGTGAATAAAATATGTAAGCCAGTAGATTATTACAGGTGAAATGGCGCCGGCATATTTTGACCGCATGGTGAATCCAATGTTGTCATTGATGCTTCATACTAAAGATGATCTGCTGCGAGCTTCAGTGCTCTCTTCACTATCTAATCTTATTGTTTCGTGCCGTGGATTGAATATACACAAACATCTTGCTGAGGTATACGAATCAAATTTCCATTTGTTGTCAGTTAATTTTGCCTTGAAATGTAAGCCCTGTAGTTTTACAGAAATCATGGAGATTATTTAGTTATCAATTTTTTTATTATTGGAACCCGACCATATCTAATTGAGGTTTTCTACTTTTTTTATCTTCACTGGCTATTCATGATATTTTGTTAGCTTTTTTGATAATATGATATTAGCAGTTGCTATGTATAACAGATAGATTTTATAAGAGGCAAGCAATACAAATTGACGTTTTGTAATTTAGTATGCGAACCTAATTGTGACATTTTTATCACTTTTATTCAAAATGCTTGTGTGATCGTAAAAAGTGGATTTATTCATTTAAAATTTGTTTCTGATGCTTTTTATTGGTTCCAAAATTCTTTTAGATGTTATTAGCAGCTAAATTATATATACGTGATGCTGAAGCGGAAATAGTACGACGGGCGGCAGTTGATCTGATGCGTGCTATTGTCAGGACATATGATATTAGTCTTCTGCAAGTAAATATTTTAATCACTCTAAAGGAGTCAAATTCTACCATTAACATTCTTTTGTGTTTTTTTTTGCACGTTCAATAATTTTGCATATGTTCTTTTATTTTTTATATATATTTTTGGATATCTATAGCTGTTTGCATTGATAAATATTAAGCAGCTGAAGTAGAAAATTCCTAGGAAATTAGAAAATATAGATATTCTGATATATCAGAGTTGAGCAAAAGTGAAATAATTTTTATTTTTCTAGGAAGCTCCATCACATCTTTATGATATAGCAGATTCGCTGAGCTATATCTTGGACCAGGATGAGGATCTGGTCGTTAAAACTCATGCAATGTTATGTCTACAGGACATCGATGCTCAAATGGAGGAAGGTTTTCTGGAATTTGAAAAGGCTCATACTCGCAAAATACGATTTTAAGTGGGTCCGATATAGTAAGTCTGTCATTCATCACGCATTCTAACTATATCATAGTTATCTTTTCATAAGTGATCCCTCAGTTAAGTGCCCGTTTACATTTCCATATGTGAAATGTGTTTTCTTTTTTCTTTGTTTCTTTGGAATAGGCTGGTGAAAAAATGAGAAACTATATCAGTTTATATCATTTATCATCAAGCGTTAAAACCGCAGCATGCTAATGAATTGTAAATATGATTGTTCCGAACATATTTGTTTACATTTCTTTCTAATTCAAGCATTAATCGTTTTTTTTTCCGTTTAATTTATTGTTTTTAGGTATTCCGTTTGAATGTTACAACAGGATGCTTCTATTAATATTTTCTCTTCAATTTAAGTAATAGCTGAATGTATTGATTTTCATGGTTCTGTTTCCACATCGTAATAAATGCACTATATTATGCTCATATATTTTATTCATAGATTCCTTATTAACAATGTTAATTTTTATGATTAAATTACGTAGGACTGAATTTTTTTTTTTTGGAAAAGTGAAGAAGAGTAGTTGAAATTAAACTACCTTAAGATAAAATTCTTATTTGTATATCTGTTTCTCCGTTAGTTCTTGATAATAAAAGTACCTTTTTTTGACCAACAACTTCAATCTTTATTCAATGTGATGTAATTGCTTAATCGAACCGAATATCTTTTTAGATCTAAAATCTAATCTGCACAAATTTCTTTTTTTGTTTTCATCTGTCTGTGTGTACATATGTGTGTTCGGTGTGTGTATAAGTGTTCATGTGTGTGTAATTCAAAGTGCCAAAATGTCAATGGGAAATGAAAAAAACAGCTTATAGTTTGTAGGGAAGATTTCATCATACAGTTCGTAAGAAAGATTTATATACCTAAGTTTCACTTGCTTCTGTTTTGTGAAATATGTTTTCTATAGAATATCTAAATGGAACGCATATTAACAGCAAACGAGTGAGTGGAACAGAACTTTCGTAAATAAACCCTTTCTACAACTTATACATTTATTTTTTTTTTTTGAACGCTATTCATTTTACAAAGACAACGATGAATAAAGCAAACAAACTTTGAGAGACATAAAAGAGCTGAAATGAATATAATAGTAAGTCTCAGATTGTTTTGATTTAATTACCTGGATTTCCAGATAACTTATATAACTTGAGAGGATTAAGGAATTCTGAAGTACTAAGGAAGCTAATTGAAAACAGAAATTCAAGAATTTCTTGTTACTTAATAAAGTGAAAAAAAAAACAGTGGGAGATCCTTCACTGATGGAAATTTAGTTGAATTAAATCAGCTTGTTATCTTTATAATTTATTCATCTGCATACTATTACTCCACTAATCTACTGTTTCATTACTACTGTTTCAGAAATCTTTTAATTCAAGTTGACCTCACTGTATAGGTCTTTCATGAATTTTACATTGTGGTATTTATTTTTTTCGTTTTTAAAAGTTTCACAGTAATTTATTTCATTCATCCATATGATGTCTTCAAGTTTTTTTTCAAAGTTTAAAACAATCATTTTTGTTTTGTACCATTATTATCTCAATATTTTATTTCTAATGATGGGTAATCTTTTCGAACCAGACCTAGCAGTTAACCATATCTCAGGTATTTCATTTTTTGGTTTACTCTTTGATTTCATTTCTTCAGTTGTTAAACATTTGCTCAAGTACTCAAGTACTAAATTTCTTATTGCAAATAAGAAGTTAAATGCATAAGCAATAGCAAAAAGCCTATGTTTTTTTTCAAGCATTTATATTGTTGGCAGTTAAAGTATTGGTCAGTATTAATGTAAGCTTTCAGTTTACAGTAGTTCATATGCCTACTCGAACAGCAATGTTTAATTTTAATTTCTTTATTTATGGCTGGATCTTTTCTTATAACTGAAAGTTATAGTCTCTATAAAAATTGTTTATTTTTAGTTTCTAGTTTTTCGTTGTTTTAAATTTCTTATGGTCATCATTCGATACTTTTTCAAATGAGATATATGGGACAACATTGTTGTATGAGATTTTTTCTACAGTTGATTTCATTATTTATATAATAATGTTCTTGGTTCACTGATGCTGTATGCTCTCCAATGATACTTTTGCTTTCATCATGTTCTGGACCATATATCTACCTTTTTTCCAACTTAAAATTAACGATCAGCATGCTCATAACCGTTTTATTACCTTCTTTCTCAAATCATAACGATAATTTGAGAAAGATGTAATTAAATATTTTGAGGATATGCCATGAAAATTTGGAATAAAAAAATTTTTTTCTAATAACAAAAAAAAAATGTATATGCTCAACCTTATATCGAATTTCCTTGTGAACATAACTGCCATCATATCCTGGTTTTTTTTGTTTCATTTAATGAAAATGTGCGTCATCATGGACTATTCAGTGTTGCTTTTGTTTAAAATTTATTGAAACGTTTATGTTTTTTGACCAAAGTACATCTTCTTTAAGATATTTATGATCCATTCTCGAAAGGGAACAGACAGTCAGTAGGGGAATCATTTTTACAAATATATTAGAAACAGTTGTTTCAGAAAAAAATTTCCATTTTCATATAATAGTATGATTTCACTGTTTGCTTGGTACCATTGGTATTTGCTCTTCCTGAATGCTGATACTTTCTTCATCCACTCTGTCAAGATGAACGTCTTTTGTTTCTACCAAAAATAGGCATGATGAGATTAAACTAATTAGGCCAACTATTACAACGATGAGATAAGCCGATGGTGGCCATATATTTGACAAAAAGAAGATCTAAAAATGAATTGATATTATTTTCATTAGAATTGAAATTTTACAAAAAAAAAACAAGTAATTTCTGAATAGGATGCATCGAATTTCTCTTTTTTGAATCGAAAATTGAAAATTTATATAAAATCTGAGTGAAGCTTCGGGAGATAATAGTCGAAATTCTTGGAAAAACGTACCGTCGGTGAAAATAAAGCGCCGATTCTGGCAATAAAAGAGCATGAACCGAGAGAAGAAGCACGCATCGATGTTGGCATCGACTCGACCGCACATAAATAACATGCATCCCATGTATATTCGATAAATATTGTACCAATTAGATTAATTACCAGTATAGCGATACCCTTAAGTTAATATAATGCGAAAGATTGGTTTGAATTATTTTGATCATTTTATCATTTTAACTGATTAATAGAAACATTTTAGTGTGAAATTTTATCTTTTAAAAATTTCCAATCTTTCAATGGGAAATAAATGAAATGTGATGATATTCTTTAGAAATGGTTTTTAAGAAAAAGGCTAATGGACCAACCTGATAATGAAAATAAACAAGGATAGTTAACGTTAGGAAGCATATACAAACAGCTAATTGTGCGTATTGATGTAATTTACGACGATTGAAATCTTTATTTACTGTATCGTAAATTACCAATACTATCTACAAGGAATAAAGATAATATGCCATATATTATCATTTAACAATAATTATTTCCCAAAATCTTTGAGTTTAATTCGATCGTTTTTCCCACTTAAAATTTTTCTGTTTCAAAATGGACAGATAAATAATTGAAAATGAAAAAATAAAAATCTTAGTCAAACTTTCAGTAATTATGTTTTGTTTTCGATTTTTTACACCTTCAATTAAATTTTAATTTGTAATTTGTTCATTTTTTATTATTAATGAGTTTTTTTTAATAAATTTAAATATTTGGAATATATTTTTGGCGAATAATATATTTTAAATGTTGCATATTTGAAAATGAAAAAAAAAACCTTAGAAGCAGCAATAAGGACGGAAAATAATGCTTGATTAACGAATAGATTGCCACTTATGCGTGATGAATTTAAATCAATTGCGTAACCAGATAGTGATGCCGTAAACCATATTAACCATAAAATAAATAACCTGAAAAGTAAGTAACGATTGTAATTTGTGAAAAAGATACATTCAAGTGTTTTTTGACGAAAATTTTCTATTAATTATGAATTTTGGCTTTAATTAATTACAAAATGTAGCTTGAATTCTCAACCAGTTATTAATTTTGACCAAAACTTACAATTAGTTATCGGGACTTCTGATTAATTAGATTTTAGATGAAAATTTTAATCGACTTTTAATCGACCACAGGTTTTGCTCGAAGCTTTTAATTAATTGCTTTTTGCCAATTATTAATTTTTGATCGGGATTTTTAACTAATGGACTTTCAATTGATCGCCAGCTCTGTTCAGAATTTCTAATTAATTATAAATTTGTTAATTTTTTAATGTATGTGATATTTGATTGAAAATAAAATTAATGTGGTATTAGGAAAAAATGACAGGTAAATAATATGGAAAAGAATTTTCGGGAGCAATAACTGCAAATAGATGACAAATTTGCTGATTTCACGAGAATATAGTTAATAAGTAATCTTAATATATTTCGAAATTAATCAGTTTATTCTTAGATATTATATATTATTTATAATTGCTCCAAGAAAAAAAAAATTCATTAAGAAATGTATCAAATAAATAGTACAGTTGAAAGGAGGAATTTTTTGATGAAAATTTGCATGTACCGTTTGGCATAGGTTGATTGTCGGATGACATCAATCAAACGATTATTTTTTTCTACCATTTTATGCTCCACTTCAATATATGGTATACCGGCTATGCGTGCAATCTTTTTTTCACTTTCGCGCATTTCAACCAAACGATTCTTTAAAATTAAAAATTTGAAATGAAAGTAAATTTCAAAACTATTCAAAACAGAAAAAAGCGGAATAAAATAGAATTTTTTTATCTGATAAGTTTTGACAAAGTTTTTAATCAAATTGGTTAAATAATTGAAAATAAATGGATGAAAATGAATTATTAAAATACCTTGCTATGAAGCCATGTTGGACTCTCGGGAAAAACAAAGAAGATGATAAGGAGAGCCGGTAAAGCAGCTATAGCATTTCCAAATGATGCGAGACGCCATTCCGGCAGCATGTAGCATATAGCTGTCATCATCAATCGCGCAATACCCTGCGATCTATGTCTTGCTTTTTTATCAACTTTTTAATTTGAAATTCAGTGAATATTTCACTTTTCATTTCCCGTAATCAATTCATATTACTTTATCAGTAATGATTACAATTAATTGTCAATTAGATAATCTTGTTGTAACATAGAAATAATTATAAATGGTATTATGATTCAGTGTATAATTAAATTATTAAAAATCTGAAGCAATTAAATTAAAATATTTAAATTGGCATAAATTATATAATTATATCAACAATAAACCACTGGAATGTAACTACTGATACAGTTACCGCTATCACATACATATTCATTGCCAACTATTTGAGTTATTTTTGGAAAAAAAGATTTTAATTGGTTTTTATTAGTTTATTTTTTATTTAAAAATATTAAAAAAAAACATCAATTACCCAATTGAAAAAAGCTCTGAGTGCCATACGTTGCTGGGGTAAAAGCATTTCCATCACATATGTACATACGACTACAATGGTACCACCAATGGAAAGGCCAACAAAGAATCTCAATACCAACAAAATCTCCCAGCTTGGTGCTAATCCTGAAATTTAAAATTAATTGGGTGGAAAAATAAAGATTTATTTAATCGTTTCCTTCTTTTATAAAAATATTAAGAGAAAAATAAACCCAATCAACATGAATTAGATAAGAATTGCTTTGATACTTTAAACGATGATACCGTGAATATTTCATCGATGCATACATTGTATTCTAAAGTTACAGTATCAGTAGTTCAACAATATAAAATTATTAAGTAAACTTGTTAGCATGATCTTGCTACCAGTGATTATTACAGTACAAATACAATACAGTTTTTCAATACTGACATAACAGTTAATGCCTAATATGAAATTTCATATGAATTTGCCAAATAAAAACACAGTAGTTAATATGAATTCATTCAAAGTTTTTCACTCAATTAGTTATTGTTATGATCAAGAATTAACATTAATAATAGTAGTAATGATGAAAATAATAATAATAACAACAATGATAATGATAACAATGATAGTGATAATGATGACAATAATAATAGACAAATTTTATGAGAATTTTTTTTCTTGTTTCCATTAGCTGCAAAATATAAAACGTTAAATGATGTAATGTAAAATTATACCTGAACAAAAAGAAACGACAATACCGCAAGCGAGTGAAATTAAAGCTAAGGAATGACGCCCGAAAATATCTGATAATGTTCCTGCACTTATCGTACCGAACAGAACACCGAGAAATTGTATCTGACTAAATAATGATGCCCAGTACGCGGATGCACCACAAATCCAACCGTATTCGAGAGCTGCTGAGAAAAATGTTATCTGAAAATTTGTCATTATTTGAAAGAATCATTTGTACTTATAATTTAGCAATTTGTATTGAGCAAAAGTATTCATGAGAAATAGTTGTAAAAATGAATGAATGGATTGATATGATTGAAAGGTTTATATATTTTAAAATAGAATTTATTGATCT